CGTTCCTGAGAAAAACGTATAAATCGGGGGATAGGTGTACACAGAAATAAAAATAAAATGCATTGACAGGTTAAAATATGTAGTCAGCACATAAGCTCGGGATTCCTCGAGAGATGTGTACACAGCGCATGTGTTCAATCACAGTAGCATTTAGTATAGTGCGATAAAACAAAAACAAAAAAACTTATTTGGAAAACCGTGTAAAAGCGGAAATGTGTAAAAAAAAGTACCGTGTAAATCGTTGGGATAGGTGTTTATAACGTAGTAATAATATAATTTTTATTTCTGCATATTACTGTATAAATATCACGTTATAAATTTAAAAATTATCAAAGGTCAATTGACAAAGTGGTATCTATATACAGAGAACTCAGTATTCACAGTCAGGTGGTCTCAGGTCGTGAAACTCTTCCAGCCTGCAGAAAGAATTGTGCAAGCCATGTGCGAGAGGTTTATATGCGAGAGTTCTATCAAGAAAATAGGTTAGCCAAATATCAGGGAACAGGCTAAATCAACGCTTAGTTGATTTCTGTTCCACTAGATGGCGCTCTGCCATCTAAAAAGCTCATGTGCTTCTGGTCAGGATATGACTTCTTTGATTTTAATTACCAACACCTGACCTTTATTTATTTATTATTTTTTTTACATATTAAAATATAATAATAAAGTTAGAGAGAGGGAGAAATCCCTTGAAATATTTTATTTTTGTCTTTTTTGATAAAGATCCAGATTTTTATCATCTTTATTATCTTTCGATTAAATATATCTTCAATAAACTCAAACAATTCTAAAGGCCAAATTAGATAGTTACAGGATCCATGTCCAAACCTGGCCTCCTTTGGCGGTTGTAGAGAGATATTTTGGAATTCTGTGAGAGAAAGAAGCTCACAGGGGTCAGGGGCGTCCGTCGCTATTCCAGGACCATCATTTATTTCTGTCAGACGATAGATGGATGTACTCCTGGGACCCCCAGAGCATCTGTTAGCCCCGACAACAGCCGACCTTGCCGGGATGTAGCATCGAACTCAGAAGTACTTGCAGTCTTATATCGATGTTTAGTTGGTTCCTCTTTTTCATCCCAGTAAGAAGGTAAGAAAAGTACATTTCTATTTGAAAAGGAAAAATTCATGTTTAATATAAGATTGTCCAAAAAGTTCGTAAGCATATTATGATTTATTTTGCAAGTATTTACGAACTTTTGAGACAACCTTAGTAATATCGGTAACCTTGGTAAAATTATAACAGAATTCTTATAGAAGAATGATTTAATCTCTGATGTTCTTAATCAAAAGTGACCAATTAGTAGGTGGGCCAGGTTTCAGAACTACAAGGTTTGTCTGAAAAGTTTGTAAACATTTGCAAAATAAATCATAATATGTTTACGAACTTTTGGGACAACCTCTTGTAGTTTCATTCATTACATATATATAGCATGTTAATGCCTTAAATTCAGTTGATGATATTAATAGCATAAAGGGGAGAGATAACAATCAGTCAATGCATTTGATAATCTGTTAAACAATTGAAAAAAGGCATATCCTTATCGGGAAACTGAAAGTTGCTGATGGCTTGCGCCATCTTTCGGAATAAATATCAACTATTCTTTGATTTTCAATTATTCCAGAATTGGCTGAATACCCATTCTGGCCAATTCTGGAATAATTGAAAATCAACGAATAGTTGATATTTATTCCGAAAGATGGCGCAAGCCATCAGCAACTTTCAGTTGCCCGATAAGGAGATGCTTTTTTTATTTTTTTTTCAATTTATGAACCTTATATCAGTACAATATATATCACATTTGTACTATATTTTCAAGTAGAAAAAAGGTTAGGTGTTGATGTTAAAAATAAAAATAGGCATATACTGACCGCTCAAATCTGCCATCTAAAAAGCTCATTTGAGAGGTCAGTATATGCCTTTTTCTTTTAATAATATGTATTTAAATATACAAGTATTTGTATTTCTATATACTAACCTGTGTCAAAAATAATGCTCATAGTTTACTTAAATACTTTAATGAAGAATTCAAGTACCGGAAATATGAACAAAACTCTCAATAAAAAAATCCCTTTAATCAATATTAAAGTGGAAACATGAGGCTTTCCAGGGATATAAGTTTCTTCTTAAAAGTTTTAACTCAAATTTCTAGCTTTCGGGTATGAAAACCCTTCTACAGTAGAAACAAGATTCAATGAACAAAAACAAGATATCTTGTTTCTCCTGTAGAAAGGCTTTCATTACCGAAGGCTTAGAGATTTGAATTTTCAAAATTTAAAAGAAACTTATACCTGTAAGGCTAATGTTTAAACCTTAATAAACATAACTTCCCTCTACAATGTTAGAAGGGTAAGGTTTATTAAACTGGCAAACCACTGGGTGGGTTCACCCCTGATAAGCCAGGAGACTCCTCTTTCAATATTTTTCCTTGCAGTAAGAACATTGGTGTTTCATTTGAAAAAATCGTGCTGAATAGTTACAATTCGTGTAATACCCGTGTTAAGCTGATGAACTAATGGTAGAGGGATACAGGGATTCTTCCTCGTAAAAGGTGTGTTCTTATGTAGTTATCTTGAATCCAATCATATATAGGATCCTCTTAGAGATCATCAATCTTAGTTCAGTATCCCTATAGAATCTCTTAAGGAATAAAACTGCATGGCGTCACCTCATGTATTGAATATCCATGGCATTGTAAATAAAACTAAGAAAACTTTGTAATACAGTATAATGCGGCTTATGATTGTAGAACGAAATTTGACAATTATACTGCAAATGTTTCTTTTGAACAAAAAATCGAAATTTATTTTAAGGAGAAATAACGATTATTTCTAACCTTAGGAATGAAGTATGATAGAATGAACTTTGTGTGTGTTCTGTTGTAGATGTTAGGCATGCGTTATTTGTGTGTTGTTTTTGTGTGTATATGACAATTAAAAAAGGTTTATTGACATCTAGTCAATGATCAAGAGAGAGTTTACAGAGTTAAAATGGCAGAGAAAAATATATACACCAGACGAGGCCTTCTCCGAAGGTACGTCTAGATCCTATCAGGAGCTTAGAATCGTTTTGAGTTCAAACAGGCCCTTGCGAGTTATGGAATCCGTGTCCCCAGCGATGACTGTGTTGAGGAACTTGACAAGAATAATCTTGTGTTAGGTAAGGTATCCGCGTGGAAACTCTCCCTAAGATGGAGGTACAGGACCGCGGCATCATTAATGGTCGTCCCTCGGTTATATAGGGGGCTAAGGATAGTTTCACCGTTCAGTTGTTCGATTATGTCCATTAACTGATTCTCACGTTCCATTTCCTGCTCTTCCTGGAGCGTCGGGTCAGGTATTAGAGGCGGAGGGACTACTACGGCTGGAGCTGACTCCTCCTCATGTGTGTATATGTATTGTGTGTGTATGTGTTGTGCGTGTCAGAACGATAACCCGGGTAGTTTTCGACTTCTATACGCCCACGGAACCCGGCTTAACTAAATAAATATAATAAAGTATAGGAAATATAGATAAAGGCTAGTTTACGACATATATGCTATCCAGGAACTTGGATTAATAAAAGAAAAAGTATAAAATATGTTTTTCATAGAAATGCCGGCGGCTTGTATATTTGTCTAAATGGAAATAAATATTTAGAACTTCATTTATTATTATTATTTACATAATTATCATACCAAGTTTTAAATATTACTTACCGCGCACGTTTCTATAGAAATGTTAAATTATATCAAAAGATACAACCTCCGGCAAATTATAACGTTAGTTTTGTCTCATTAAAGAAAAGCTATATAAATACTTCTTTTTTAATTAAAAATATTTTAATTAATGTTAATATTATACATATATATATATAAGATTTAAATTTCAAAAGATTTTAGGCTTTTATTATTTAGTACGCATGTATAAATATATAATCCAAGTTCTCCCTTTATATGTTATATATTATATAGAAACCTCCATGTTATATGTAAAATATAAACTGCGTATATTATATAAAAATTACAAATTAGTAAGTTTATTTATTTATTTCAATTTAAAGCGCTATGTGTGTGTGTCCCCCTAGGGACACTTGCGCTGTCATACAAATTAATTAGTTATTTGTCCATATATGTGCTTAATACTACCTATGAAACATTGACATTTTATATTTTGGAAATATCAACGTTTTAATTATTTCTAAACGAACTTTTCAGGGAGGTCTCAATTAACACAACCCTTTCAACCAATAAAAACAAAGGATCAGCTTTAGCCTAGAGCAAAAGAAAACAAAATCTTATCTTTATTTACTTCTGCGTGTGTTCGTATGCCCTTAATTAATACAATTATTTCAATTTGGCCCATATTAGATTCACTCTTTGTTATACCTATTCAACACAAACATCATATAACGTAGTGCATTCTATAGTGTTTGAACAAGTAACGCCATTTATGTGCATGGGTTAATCAATTTATTACCAAGCAAAAGAAAATAACTATTGAAATATAAATTACTTTTAAGAAAATGTAATAATAAAAAATTGGCGCGCAAAAAGTTTTTTGTTAAAATATTTCTCAAACATAAATTTAATTCATACAAAAAAAAGAAGAAATTTAAGTCCATTACGAAACACTAAAATAATGTGAGAAAAAAAGTGTTTTCTAAAGAAATGGAATGTAAAGCAAATATAATTTCTGAAGACGAATTATTTTTTATTGAATTTTAAGTAAAAATATACTTTGCTTTACTTTCTAAGTATTTATTTTTTTTTACTTTATTTTTAATACATCATAAATGACTGCGGCGTATGATTATAAAGCAATACTTAAAGTTTAACCGCATAAGTTTCTTTTATTTGTGAAAAATCAATTTTAATTTCAAAGAGAAATATCTAATATTTCTAACTTTTTGGATGACGTATGAAAAGGTTGAATATATGAAGAGTGATGGTCTATATATGATTGGATGACGTATGGAAAGGTGAAAATATGAAGAGTAATGGCGAACGGAAAAATAAAAGTGTCCAGGGGCGGGAATCGAACCCACAACCTTCTGCTTACCGGGCAGGTGCCATGTCCACTTTGCTACCCTGGACTTAAATACTTAAAGTAACTTATAAGTACGACTAGTGGACATGGCACCTGCCCGGTAAGCAGAAGGTTGTGGGTTCGATTCCCGCCCCTGGACACTTTTATTTTTCCGTTCGCCATTACTCTTCATATTTTCACCTTTCCATACGTCATCCAATCATATATAGACCATCACTCTTCATATATTCAACCTTTTCATACGTCATCCAAAAAGTTAGAAATATTAGATATTTCTCTTTGATATTAAAATTGATATTTCATAAATAAAAGAAACTTATGCGGTTAAACTTTAAGTATTGCTTTATTTTTAATGTTTTCTAACTTTGTTTTGTTCACGTTAATCACTATATTTTATTTAATATTTTTGACAACACACAATATTGTCAAAATTCGAAACTATTATAGACGGGTATTATTCTTTTTAAAAATAAACAATTTATACTGTCCTTACTGCAATATAATTTTTCCATTACAGTAAGGACAATAGAAATTGTTTATTTTTAAAAAGAATCATACGCGTCTATAATAGTTTCGAATTTTGATAACAGATGGCGCGCTAATACATCATAACACACTATTGTGTGATATACTATATTCTTGCTATAAATGCATTGGAAAAATAGTAATAAAAGTGGAATGACGAATTGGAATGTTTTTCTTTTAATTGTTGATTAAAAAACTATATAAATGACTCTCATCGTGCGCGCGAGGGTTTAAAATTAAAATTCTATAATTATTACTGTGGAATAATAGAAAATAAATAAGCTAAATCTCTTAAAATTGAAAGATACTTCGGCCAGTAAATCTTTTTATTGTCTCGACGTTTCGACAAAGAGAACAGTAGGGCCTCTTCCAGCTTGCGCTGTCTGTCCACAGATTTGGAACACACAGCGTTCCACTTGGCTTTCAGGGGATCCATCATGTCTTCCAGGATGGGGATGTCGTTCTTGGGACATTTTTCCTACAGGGAACGGCCCATACGCATGGTACCATCGAATATAGGTTGCCTAGCTCCCAGTATTCTCTGGAATTCTTTGTATTTGACCAGGAGTTGGTTGATCTACTCTGGGTCATTGCCGATCTTGGTGCTGCTGTCCAGGTTATTCTCTGCTTCCTCTAGCCAATCTACTAGCTCGCTCCAGGCATCGTGGAACTGACACATACATACAAGTTTGGTTAGTTGAGACAAAGAGATGTGTGTGGAACAAGCTAAGTTACACTCTTGGACAAAACTTAAGGAAGTTGTACCTTTTACCATGTATATCGGGATTCAGACAATAACTCTGAAAGATTCACTCTTGGACAAAACTTAAGGAAGTTGTACCATTTACCATGTATATCGGGATTCAGACAATAACTCTGAAAGATACACTCTTGGACAAAACTTAAGGAAGTTGTACCTTTTACCATGTATATCGGGATTCAGACAATAACTCTGAAAGATACACTCATGGACAAAACTTAAGGAAGTTGTACCTTTTACCATGTATATCGGGATTCAGACAATAACTCTGAAAGATACACTCATGGACAAAACTTAAGGAAGTTGTACCTTTTACCATGTATATCGGGATTCAGACAATAACTCTGAAAGATACACTCATGGACAAAACTTAAGGAAGTTGTACCTTTTACCATGTATATCGGGATTCAGACAATAACTCTAAAAGATACACTCATGGAAAAAACTTAAGGAAGCTGTACCTTTTAGCATGTATATCGGGATTCAGACAATAACTCTGAAAGATACACTCATGGACAAAACTTAAGCAAGTTGTACCTTTTAGCGTGTATATCGGGATTCAGACAATAACTCTGAAAGATACACTCATGGACAAAACTTAAGGAAGTTGTACCTTTTACCATGTATATCGGTATTCAGACAATAACTCTGAAAGATACACTCTTGGACAAAACTTGAAGAAGTTGTACCTTTTACTATGTATATCGGGATTCAGACAATAACTCTGAAAGATACACTCTTGGACAAAACTTGAGGAAGTTGTACCTTTTAGCGTGTATATCGGGATTCAGACAATAACTCAGACAATAAAAAATATTTACTGGTTGAAGTATCTTTAATTTTTAAGAGCTATGAATTCCGGCCAGGCAGCCTCTATTTTTACGATAAGATATATCTGATATACAGTTATCAGCGTCATAATCAAGCAACAATTCTTAATCAATTCTGTCACCGTTTGCTTTGTGAATGGAATAAATACCCTAATATGGCCATTTCTCATAACCATCGGTGGTTCAGTTGCAAAATGCTCGCCTGCCACGTGGGCGGCCCGGGTTCGATTCCCGGCCGATGCATTTTTTTTTTTTTTACAATTTTTAAAATTTATTTATATATTATACAAGAATGACATCCACGGCGCCAATTTATAATTGTAACGAATAGTATTTGAATAAAAGCATTTAATTGGGTAAAACCCGGGCGTTGCCCGGGTCATTCGGCTAGTTTGATATAAAAGAAGAAACACAAGTCAGGGAGAATAGCTTCGTTTATAAGAGGACAATCGTACAAGATTTCAGGCAAGGCGACCTTTTATGGGCGTTCTACTTTTCTCTTTTGTACTCGTAGAAGGACATCTTGCTCAAAAGCTTGTACGATTGTCCTCTAATATAAAGAAGCTCTTCTTCCTGACTTGTGTTCTTCTTGTATAGCAAAGAGAAATATTATCGTCGTCTTAATATCTTATGTAGTTTGGAGGTTTATTCTCAATAGGTGTTTGTATCTACTGTTATCATCTGGGTCCATTAAAATTGTTTTCTTTACAAAATATCTTCTTTCTTAAAAAGCGCGAAATAATGCGAAAGGTTTCTTTAAAGCTTTTATTATTTTGCAGACCTTTAGAGCATTACAGCCCTTCCACAGGAGAAAATAGAAAACGCATAAGAAGATGAATTGTTTATATACATGTCATAATTTATATATTGCCCAAGAGATATAATTTCTATTCGCCATAATTAATATGTTAAAATGTAAATACAAATTCACCCATCTATAAATCTGTACAAAATAAACGTGGGAGCCAGCGCGCGCGGGTGAAGGCCACGGCACAAATTCTTTTTCGAAGCATACATACACAACGGTCACGTCTTTCCATTTGACCACGACGGATACGAAATACATATCTGCATATGTACATATATTAGGAGATTTGCATTTAAAGAAAAACAACAGAAATATATAATGACTAGCGGATGTGCCCGGCTTCGCCCGGGTTTTTACCCGAGTAAAGGTTTGTCTAACGAACATTTGTTAAAACAATTCTCTATAAACTTATTAAAAAAAGAAGATATATTTTGATAATTTGAAACTTGTAAATTTGAATCTCTCGATAAAGTGAACATTTTTTCCCGGTCCCTGTGTGCCGTGTCATCCTGAATTTTGTCTTTCCTAATTTTCTACATTACAAAATCATCGTTTTATCTAGTGAACATTTTTTTCCGGTCCCTTGAAAAATACTCGATAAGTTGAATAAAATCAATATTAATTGGTTCCCTCGGTAATTGGAAGTTAGAGGAATAGTATCTTCGCCTTGGAATTGTATCATTATTCTTGTCTCAAATAAATTGCCGTGTCATCCTGAGATAATCTTACTTTTGATAAATAATATTTAAGATTTTATTATATATATTATATTATATATATATTACACGTTATTTGTTTTCTTGGCCGACTGTTTTACATATGGTGTTATCTTAAAATTGCTTGTTTTGAATATTTTTTAGATTGAGATTATTAGCTAGTATGAAAAAAATTAACTCTGTTGAAATTTAATTTTGTATTTATATATAAATAAAATTAACTCTGTTGATATTTTTTGTATTTAATCGATAACAGCGAAGTTACGCATGTTAATGTTAGGGAAAAATATTTTGATGTTAAGCAAAACCTGCTCCATCTCGTTTTACATAAATGTTGAAAATTTGGTTGAAATTGATGCATTGTAACGAAAGTTTTTAGTGATGTCCTCTTATGAAATTTGCATTTTATTAATATAGATAAATACAGCAGGATGGCAACTCTTGCACGGTTTTCTCCATAGTTCATTTACTACAATTGATGAATTCTATGTTGCATATATACTCTTATAATTATATATTTCTGTTGTTTTGTTAAATGCAAATTTCCTATTACAGTAGAACCTCCCTTTAGCGGATACCTCTCTACAAATGACAGTTTTCATTTGCAAAATTACCATTTTTTACTATTTAGCAACTCTTCGGTAAGAGGACTTCTCTCCCTAAAGGACAATTTGGCTCTGCAATTAGGTGTTCTTTACAGGGAGGTTCTACTGTGTATATAAATATGCAGATATGTATATAAACAATTCATCTTCTTTCATATGCTTTCTATTTTTATACTGTGGAAGGGCAGTAATGCTCAAAAACTCTGGAAAAATAATAAAAACTTTAAAAGAAACCTTTCGACTTATGATTTCGCGCCTTTTGTGAATTTGCTTCAGACGATTATATAACTCAAGTTATCTTCTTTATGTTGATATTTTTTCCTCTCTCTTTTATCAACTTTCTCTCTCTTTCCGCCTTGGACCTCGGGGAAGCTTACCTATGTTGCAGCGTTAGTGGTTTTCTGCTTACTTGGCATCTTGCCACAGTACATTTTGAACAATCTGCTTGGTGCGACTTTTAAGTAGGACTAGAGAATTAGTCGAAGTTAGTCCGTTGTCATCAGGAGGAAACTCTGAATAAAAACGCCTTTTTTCAGACATTTTAGAGTTAGGCCATGATCAACAAAGGAGAGAATTTCGAAGAAGGAATCAAAGCGATGGTTTTCTCTATTTATGCGGTATAATCTTGGCAAGCTTTCAGACTATGACGTCCTACAACAGGCAACTATCCAAGAAAATAGAGAATAATATATATACTATTATTAAGGACAGTAGAAGTTTGATTTATTTGTAAAAAGAAACTTCCGCGTCTTAATATTAGTAACAAGCCGAATGACCCGGGCAACGCCCGTGTTTTACCAGATTAAATGTTTTTTTTTTTTCAAATACTATTTGTTACAATTATAAAATGGCGCCGTGGATGTCACTCTTGTGAAACGTCCCGCTCCAATCTTTGT